CGCCAATCACTTCCCTCCTCCGGGGAAAAAGCCAGCCTCTAATTAATAGGGATTCTGAGGAAACATTCCCAAGGCATTGGGTTACCATGTGCTGCCTACCACAGGGTTTCTTGAACTTCCCGCTGAAGTGGCAGGGGCAGGAGACCTGTTACGGGATTAGATGGAGCTGTCATGTGGTCTGTGTGGCAGTGTATGGCCCTGTCCCTGTGCATTCACTTGATAGCTTTGTAAGACACTCCAACCTAAGGAGCTTGGAATGGTACCTGCATTTAGATTTGCAGAGACCTTCACTATCTGACTTTTCACAGTGCTGCCTCAGTGGCTTGGCATGACTAGCGCTGGGCAGATTTCCCATTGTCAGTGGATTGGCAAGGCAAGCTATCTCAGGGTGCAGCATGGACTGGGGCCATTTAACATCACAGGATAATATGATGCCAAAGTCCAGCCTTCATTAGGGTACTCTGTGGAGCCATGAGACTGTATTTCCTGTTACACCTTCAGCCAGCTTTCAAAAGCTACACCCTTTATGCAAAGGGCACAGATCTTGCTGCTGTGTCATCTCCTGCCCCCTTCAGTCTTCACCAACTGGAGAACTCAAGGAGGTGTCTACACCCTTTCTATGGAGTCCCTGCCCAACCAACTGTACAACCTCTAGTGTAAATCTTTTATAACCTGCTACATTTTTACATTGTTTTGAATCATCCAGAAGCAGCCTATGATCCATCCATCACTGCTCCCCCTCTCTTCACAGCTCAAGGGGTGCTATGGCAATAGGAGCTAGCATTTGCTAACATACCACAAATACTTGTCTCCTCCAGTGGCCTGGCATGTAGGGGAGCTCAGTTGTCCTGCAAAGCAAATCTGCAGGGGGTAGATAGAAGGGGGCATCCCCTAGGATCTTTGTGGGATCAGCAAGTCTGCAGGTTGTACTCAGGACTTAGTTGAGGGGGTTAACAGAATCTAGTGTCCCATATCCAAACTACTCCCATTGAACACTTCCTGAGCTCTTTGATTCAGGGGTCAATCCCTGTGTTGAAATACATCATCAGAGCAGTACTTCACTACTTCACACCAGTTGAGGAGCTGGCCCGCAGATCTCATTACCCTTGCTCTCTGAAATCTGCATTGGCTCC